AAACTGAGTTTCTAATTAAAATAATGTAGGGTCGTTCATGGCATTTCGTTTTCGATGATTCAAATAAATTACAAGGGAGATAGGTTTTTTTTTTTTTAATTTGCGCCTTGAACTACGTCTTAAGCAACAAATATAGCTCCCTTCTCGAGGAATTCCCTTCAAAGTACATACAAATTTCAAGGCACAAATTTGTACTTCTACATATGTAGGTACTTACATGAATACAGAATAACCCTACACACTTGCAACTGTGTAACTAAGCCAAATTTAACATTGAATTCGTGGAAAATTTGCACAAGAACCACAATTAAACGCAAAAAGCAACATTGTAAAAAAATATTAAAAGGCTAAAAGACATGCAAAAATTATCGTATGTGCATACATCGCACGTTTAATTATATAACGAAGTACATATTTCAAAATTAAAATTTTGTGGGAAAACGCAATCAAAGTTTTACAATTCATACAGTTAGTATAAAAAAAGACGGATGGTAAGACACATATTTTCGCCATATTTGGGAAATTTGGTTGTCTATTAGACTCAACATATCGCGCACCGTCTTTAAAAGAGTCACAACTCAAAATAATACGTTCGTCAGAAAATGCGAAAAACTAATTCGTAGCACATGCTAATCATATGGGCAAGGGCGACTTTACCTTAGGTTTTTTTTTAACAAATTATAACAAAAATTTGCTCCAGCTTTTGCTGAAAGGTAAATAAAAGCTCTGTGTACATTTTTAGCACATAATATCAAAAATGCCAAATTTTGAGTTGTAACTCTTTTGAAGACGGTGTGCGATATTCTTCTTATCAAGCTTAATAATTGGATAATGAAATCTCCAAAAACGTAAAGTTTGAGTTACATCTCTATATTATTTAACGTACGACATAAGAACCGTATAAAAAACAAGTAATTTTTAGCTTGAAAAAACCCGATATAAAAAATATATATATATATATATATATATATATATATATATTTCATGATAAAATGATCGGATCTAAACCGGATTAGTATTGGACCACCTCTGAGACACTACCTTTCCGATGCAAAAAGAATTATCGGCATCGTAGTCCAAAGTTATGCGGTAACATACATAAAAAAAAACAAAAAAAAATATTCCGACGAACTGATAAATGGTTTTCTAAGAGCATTTTAAATTTGGTGCATCTTATGAACTCCTCAAAAAGATTTATTGGTGCATCGGTGTGAATACAACTCTCGTTAAAGATGAATGCTCGTACCGCTACTCGAAAGGTCCCAGGTTCGATGTTCGGCACAATCAATATCCAAATTATAAATAATATTATAGTTAAAAAAACTAAAAACACGCTTTTATTACAAA